CTCTCTCCCTCCACTCCCCCCTCTTTCTTCCCCACTCGACTCCTCTCCCCCCCTCGCGCCCACAGCGTTTGGTGTTGATTCGAGCGGGAAGAGGGGGGTGGGTGGGATTGGAGGGGAGACCATGACCTCCAGCTACGGGCACGTTCTGGAGCGGCAACCGGCGCTGGGCGGCCGCTTGGACAGCCCGGGCAACCTCGACACCCTGCAGGCGAAAAAGAACTTCTCCGTCAGTCACCTGCTAGACCTGGAGGAGGCCGGGGACATGGTGGCGGCACAGGCGGACGAAAGTGTGGGCGAGGCGGGCCGGAGCCTGCTGGAGTCACCCGGACTGACCAGTGGCAGCGACACCCCTCAGCAGGACAGTGAGTGAGGGGCGCGTGCGTGCTCCGGGAAGTGTGTGCGGGGGACAGCGGGCGGAGGCCTGGGAAGGGCGGCGGGAGCGTGTTCTAGGCTTAGGTTCTGGAAGAGGTGAAGATGAGGAAGTTTAGGGTCCTGGGAAAAGTGGCTGATCGTAGATTGCAGAAAGACGGGTGAGAAAAAGAGGGCTCCGCCAAGGGTGTAAGCCAAGCGGGCGCTGGAGAAAGGCCCGAAGGCCCAGGGACGCTGGGAAGCCAGGCGATCCCAGGCTGGAACTCTGCGGCCACGACTGTCTCCAGCCGCCACGGCTGCATCTCGGTTTCGGGCGAGAGCAGCGGTCAGAAATCCCGCAGGCGGGGCGTCTGCGCCCGGGTAGGAGCCGTCTGGCCAGAGCGCAGGCTGCACAGCCACCGGGTTAGAGAAAACCGCCGACAAAGATGCCGGGTGGGCCCGGGAGCGCTTCTTCGGGAAAGCACTGTGCTCAAGGGAGTCTGGCAGAAGCCACTCAGGTTGCACATCCCAGTGCGTGAGACCCAGGCCTGGAAAAGGCAGAGGGCAGTAGGGAAATGCCCTGCCCTAGCTGACTAGGCTTGCTCTCTGCCCCATGCTGTCACTTCTACCTGCAAATCAGTTTTGAGACGGAGCTAAAAGCCCATCTGTTAGGGCAAACCTTGATGAAGCTGGAAGAATGTTCTATATTAGCAAAATCCAAAACTACTTAGTTTGATCTAGCACCGTAGGTGCACCGGGAAATCGCGGGTTCCAGCCCCAAGTCCCCCAGCAGCGCAGCGGGGGCCTATTGGCCCCTAGACCTCCAGAAAAGTCTATGTACAAGATGCCTTACCTATCCTCACCCCACGAAATGTTCATCTCAGAGTTATTAACCCTGCCCTTACAAAAAGACAGACCGCAAGCAAGCGTATGTAGCGGACCCTGAGTATGTAACACACTTGTCACCTGGTTCATCCCAAGTGGCCTCTAGTCAGATGCACACAGATACTCCCTTCCCTCCTGCGAGTCGCAGGGGTCTGGATCCAGAAGACAGTTCCAAAATGACCTCTTTTCCTTATCTTTATGTGCTGTTCGCTCTTTCCTAAACTCTGTAGTTTGGAGGTCCTCGGACATTCCATGATTCTCTCAAGACGTTGCCCATCTTAGACTTGCAAATAATTATTTTAAAAAGACATTCAAAGCAAACTGGCATCAGAAACAGCTGGCAATGGTACCTGGGCACAGTGGTGAGGGGTCAGGCTCACTGAGGCAGGCCACTGGAGATCCCTACCTGGTCAGGGCACTGGCCCCTAGTTCTGTAGTCTTAAATTCTACAGTCTGCCAGGATTGAATTAGTTCAGATGGCAGTAACCTGGGGGACAAACAGTTCTGGATTGGGCCCACTGAGTGCCACAAGAACTGGATGAAGAGGTCTGAAGTCGCCATTTGAATTACAGAAACTAGCCCAAACCACACCCAGGAAGACTTAGTGTCTGTCCCTAAACCCTGAGTATGGACTAGGTTTGGAACTATCGTCATTCTGTGTAGTGAGTGTTTGGGGGAAGCTGGTCCTGGTATACTTACTAGCATCATCTCAAGGATGAAGCTCTAACAAAATGGACTATGTAATTCTCCGATTATTTAAATCCTTTCACTAGGGAAAATGGAAAACAAAGACTAGGAAGATAGTTCCAGGACCCCTAGCTGCAGCTACTCTGTGAGTGTCAGGACAGTTTCCACACGACTTACTATTGATCCCGACAGTTATCACTGTTTGAAGAACTGAACGTTGGGACCTCACGCCACCACCCATATACACACTACCCCAACAGAAAACAAGCTTTAAAGAAACTGCTGTGTAGAAAACCAATGTGGGCAGGAGAGAGGAGGTAGTATTGCTTGCTCCAAAAGAGGGCTGGAGCACTGGAAAAGCCAGACCAAGGCTGGCCTCAGCAAGCAAGAGCTCCAGAGTGGCCACCAGCCTCAGCAACTGTGGGGCTGGAAGGGGACAGAAAGTACTATTTTTTGTTTGTTTTGTTTTTTTCTTCTTTAAGGAAACCCAGGAGAAGGGAACTTGGGGATTGTCATGGTCGTGTAGCGGGCCTATAGGAAAGCGAGGCTAAGGAAGCCATTGTGGAGCTGGTTTGTCGGTTGTCGAGGCTGTACTGAAGCTGGTGGAAACCAGGGAGGTTTTTAGGAGCCTCATGCCTAGAACCACCCAGGTCACATCATGCATACAAAGCCCCTGGACAAGCTTAAGGTCTGCACCTGAGTTGGGGCACCCTTTACCCCCAGAGAAAGGGACAAGAACCCATGAATCTGCCTTCATTGAACTCAGCCTCACCTCATACTTGTAATGAAGAGAGAGGCCGATGGAGAGAGGACCCAGAGAGGAAATGGAACCTCTTAAGTCTAGCCCAGGGGAAAGGATGCACCAAACAAGACCTTCACTAGTCAAGACAATGCAGGGTGAGGTGAGAGGTATAAGTGACCAGCACTTAGGATTCAGGGAAGCATAACACACAGGCGTGGGCTGACTTGGCCTTTGCTGGGAGATGGCTGCAGGGCTGTACTAAGAGACTTGCTTTTGGAAACAGAGTTTTCTCAGCCTTCCTTTTCTCCATGGGGGGTGATAACAGGAGACTCCAGTCTGGTCAGACAAGCAGCGCCCCCCTTCTGCCCCCGGAACCCCATCCTTATTCTTGGGGATCAGGTAGAATGCAGAGGAAGTTGTGAGGCCCTTGGAAATCAAGATCTGTGGGGCAGCACTGGTTCTTCAGCTTGAAGAGACAGTATAGACAGAGAAGAGGGGAGTCTGGGACAGAGGAGAGCCACTGCAGAGAGAGATCTGGCTGGATGGGATTTAAGGGTCACACTAGGGGTCACAGAGGATGGAGAAGTTCACAGGGCTTCAGGTGCTCAGAGTGGGAAAGGAAAATACCCTTCAAAGAGATGGGGACAAGGAACAGTTGCTTCAGCTTGTCAGGTACATGGAAACCTGGCCTCTCTAATTACCTATCTGGAGAAATTAGCATGTAGGTTCCACAGACACCCTCAACATTAGATTTTTAATTGTGCAAAAATTGGCATTTCAACCTGGCCAATTATTATAAAAAGTACAGAGTCTTTATTGGCCTCTCCTACCATAATTCAGCAATCCTGTCCCCTCCACCGATCCCCTGGGTGGGGGCTGATCCTTACTTTATTTTCCCTTCTGTGGAAGGGTGCTTTTATTTTTTGATTCTTTATTATTGATTCTCCAGCCCAGTGTATTTTTCTCCATCTTTTTGGTACCTTTACTCTGTGGTTAATGTAGTGGAGGAACATTTGGTGTATAAATGCGGGTGATGGAAGAGCAGGGATAAGTAGGGAGGGAGAAGGAATCATAAAAACAAGCAGACCTACTCTTGGGAGGACAGTTCATCCCGCTGTCAACTTCTTAATTTCAACTTCTGCAAACTCTTAAAAAAAAAAAAAAGCACGCCTGCCTTCCACATTCCCAACCTCTAAATTAGTGAAACCAGATTGTCCTAATAAGACCTTTTGTTGGAAACACATGTAGTCATAAAAAGGTAGACGGAAAGTCAATTAGACACACGCGCGCGCGCACACGCACACAGTCACCAGCCAGGGCTAAGTGTGCACCCGGGCACAGCTGGGTCCCGGGCCGGGCCGTGGTGGATGCAAATGTGGAACAGCGGCGCGGGGAAATCGATTTGTCACAAAGGGAGAGGTGTAAACGCAGGCAGAAGTTCGCCCTCCCGATTCACCGATTCACCAACCCCACTCTCGCTGGCCCAGCTCCCCAATTCCTCTGCGCCAGAGGAACGCCCAGGAGAGCGGGAACATTCTCTAAGGCGCTCCCCAGTTGGAATCCGCATCAAAATAATATCAATTCCTTCTCTCCCCGCAGCGTCTCATTTCGCAACAGTTATGGCGCCAGAAGTGTCTTTCGGGGCACCACCCTGGGATTTGTGCCCCATGCTGGTACTCTGAATTTGAATTCAGGTCTCAGTGATCTTAATTTAAGATGGAGATAATAAAACAAGTTCTTTTAATGGTGGCCTGGAAAATTCTCTCTTCATGGGAGCAGAGAATGACATTCAGAAACAAGGGAGTCCCCAGAGCATTTGGCCCAATGCAAAGGCTGGTGGTGAATTGCTTATTTTACACACAGAGGCTAAGAGCCTGGTGGCCGCCGTTTAAAATTTTCAGAGAAAAGAACAATCAAGTAATTTCGAAGTTTGGGGACCAAGGACAACTTGGGTTTGAAGTTGTAAGGGAATTGGGTCCCTGGGAGCCAAGGACCCAGGCTGAGCAGACTCCTTGAGGCTCCACATAAGCGACTCTGGTCGTCACCGCCCCAACCTCACTCTCCCTGAAACCCTTTCCAATACACCGTAGCATCCCAGCCTTAGCCTTTGCTCCGTGTAGATGACCTTTCTCAAGAGGCACTCAAGGCAGAACGCTGGGTAGCTAGACAGGCCTGCAGTGGATCACACGATGGTCCTTTGGTAGGACCTTTGTTTTCCCGGGACAATCATTTTAGATTTTCCAGCAGGAGTGAATAAATGGTCCCTAAACCAACAAATGCCACCCCTCTGTGAAGCAGTCTATTCTAAAGCAGTGGGTATTTTTCTACAGCAGGGACCGCAGAACCCAGTTTTTGTATTACTTCTAGCCAGGACCGAGTTTTGAAGAGCTTTGACCGCTGCTCCAGGCCGGCGGCATGGAGCCCTGTGCACTAAATGACAGCTATAGATTTTCAACTATGAGGGTTCCTAGCCCAAATGGATGTTTTATTTTCAAGGATTTACAATTCTCTTCCTATGCGGTGTTGATCGGCTCACTGCAGCGGCTGTCAAAGCAGACCCCAACCCTTCGGTGGGGAAAACACTGGATCTGCGGCTACCCAATTGTTGCAAACTTTTGTGCCCGCAGGTCTTGCTCTGTGACCCCAGGGAGCCTCCAGCTTAAGGCTCCATCCTCTTTGTATGCCGTGGAATGTTCATTT